AATTTGTTTACCGAGCCGTTGCCTAGCAATGAACTATTCCGGCTTTCAAGCGTCATGTCACAAAATTATTGCAATTTATAAGGATTAGTCCGAAAACATAGAATCTCGGAAGAAGATATGATAGAGATTAAAGTAAGAATACAAAAGGACAACACTAAACAAATAAGAAATAAACAAATAACAAGCTAAACTGATATTTCAGGTTAATTCTGGTATGAAGATTGCTCCCATCTGTAGCATAGGCGGAACTAACTGGGAAGTGAGCTAGTGACTCTCAGACACGGAAGTTTCCGGAGAATGTTCCTGAACTTTGCTTCTACTGGCTATTGACAGCGGCAAAACAGGACCAGACCTTCCTCATGCTGTTACATGTTAGAATCCCGTTGAGCTGTATGTATAGATCTGACTTGGGACTTGCTGCGCCGTCTAAGTGCAACGTCGTTTCCTGTCCCTTTATTGGACACTATTTCACTACATGCTTCGGCCTAACTGGCCATCTTAATTTGTACAGGTTGTTGTAGTTAAGGATTCTGCTGCTCACTATAATTCGGTTATTTTTGCTCCTATTGTAGTTGCGTCTGGTTATTTTGGTTATGTGGGATCCGAGTGGTTGCTTTTCTATAATGTGTGATGCACTATATTAAATATATATGTACACTAACTGTATGTATATACACGTATATTTATTTTCAATGGCTCATCCAGCCCATTCATGACCCTTGCCTCTTATTCATTTGCGTAATCATTTTTCACAGACGGTAGGACTCCTTGGGCGAGTGATCAGCCCGTCGCAAGGCCTCTACCTAAACACAGAATAAACGCATATACACACCAACCACCCATGCCCTGAGTGGGATTCGAATCCACGATCCCGGCTTCCAAGCGAGCGAAGACAGTACATTCTTAGACCGCTCGGCTACCCTGACCGGCAGTGTATAAGAACAATATATAAGAATTCAGTCCGTACCTCACAGGAAACAGATCCGAACCCACGATCCTGGATTCCGAGCGAGCGAAGACAGTGCATGCCTTAGACCGCTCGGCTACCGTGACCGGCAGTGTATAAGAATAATATATAAAAATTCAGTTCGTACCTCGCAGGAAACAGATCCGAACCCACGATCCCGGCTTCCGAGCGAGCGAAGACAGTGCATGCCTTAGACCGCTCTGCTACCGTGACTGCCAGTGTATAAGAATAATATATAAGAATTCAGTTCGTACCTCACAGGAAACAGATCCGAACCCACGATCCCGGCTTCCGAGCGAGCGAAGACAGTGCATGCCTTAGACCGCTCGGCTACCGTGACCGGCAGTGTATAAGAATAATATATAAGAATTCAGTTCGTACCTCACAGGAAACAGATCCGAACCCACGATCCCGGCTTCCGAGCGAGCGAAGACAGTGCATGCCTTAGACCGCTCGGCTACCGTGACCGGCAGTGTATATATACAATAATATTATATAAGTTATCTTTCCTTGAGTTTGCGTTATATGTAGAAAGTAACGACATTCATCTGTGTGTTTAAACTTTTCAGAGCTAAACCAGCACATCTTCTGTACATTTACTCATTTCCCTTACTCTTCTCTCCAAAAGCTCAGATTAATTCACAATGACAGATATCTGTTTTAATGTTATTATTTGATACAGCTCAGTTGGTACAGCGATAGGCTGTGAGCTAGAAGACCTGGGTTTGTTTCTCAGCAGGGCAAGACAATTTTCCTTTTCCCACATTGTCCATCCGAGCCTGGAGCCCTTCCAACGTTTTATCCAATGGGTAGCGGTGGCTTTCAAACGGTAAAGTAGCCGGGGCATGAAGCTGGCCATCTAGTGCCGGGATAACAAATGATGGCACTATACCTCCATTTCCTCAAACGTTTTCATACAGCGGTGCTTAATTGAATAAGCACAGGGGCATCTCTACGCTTATCATTACTTAATATTATTCTCCTTTTTAATTTGTCTCTCTTGCTGTCCTTATCAATGTGGCTTCCTCGTCAAATTTGCAATGCCTTTATTGTTTATACCACCCCACTTTATTGTTTAATGAAAGCAAGTTCATTGCTCGTAGTTAACCGAAAATTACTGAGAAAGGAATATTCATTCAAAAATTCATCTTCCTTCCTCGTCTCTTCTTGTATCAAGATGAAGCCTGTACTGACTACATGAACATTTTCTGAAGAATTTCCCTGTGCCTCTTGGTTTATGGGGAAGTGAGTCCGCGCCGGGTTCCCACTGCGGAGGCCCGGGTCAGGTCACGTGTGATTTGTGGTGGACAAAGTGGCTCTGGGGCAGGTTTGCTCCGAGTACTTCGGTTTCCCCTGTCAATTCTCATTCCACCGACTGCTCCACATTCATCATCCATCAACTGGGGCTGCTACAATAAGACAATTAATGGCCGACGTACCTAGTTGACTCAGTCTCTTCCCACCCCAAGTGAAAGTTTTAGGAATATGCCATTCTGTTGAAGTACCTTAACCACTTTTGTTTGTAGTAATATGTTCCTCCATTTACTGAACAAACATTTATCTCCTTGGATATACGTTGGCTTTTAATTCTGACTAATGTGGTACATACGAGTGTTTCGACACGTAATACAAACACCATTTTAGGTGCGTAAGCTCTATTCACGTGCAAGAGCTGAGGTTTTCGCGGCGGTGACTATGAATAATGCCATCTTCTGGAATGTGGAGCAGTGCAGAGCTTTCTGAACCGACGTTTCGGAAGAACGTATCGCCTCCATCTTCAGAGTAGAAAAATCCGCGAGCAAGGAACCAGCGTGAGCAGGCGGCTGCATGCAATACGTTCCTCCAAAACGTCGGTTCACACAAGATCTACACGGCGCCACATCTCAGAAGACGGCATTCTTCTATTAACATCTTTGTTTAACCAGAGTTTCACCTTCGCTGCTGTCAATTTAAAAACTTAAACTTTGTTTCTTTCAGTAATTGTCCTTTTGAATTTATCCTTTGTTACTTCACGGTGCTGTCAGTATCTAAACAATATAGCGTCGAATGGTAGGATATTGGTACAGAAAATAAAGGTAAAGCTCTCCCTGTAACAGGCAGTGGTGGCCCATAATGTAGGGAGTCATCGAGGCTCCCATATTTAATCCTAGTTTACAACAAAGATTTCACAGCGTACAAAAACAAAAAGCAGTAATTAGATATAGAGATTCCATCCACAAAACAGAATTTTTAAAAAAATATGAAAAGAGGTACTTTCCCGGTATCTGCCGTGGGAGATAGGAACACCATGAAATACGTCAGTCAGAATTACTGGTGTCTTAGGAGATGGTCTGACCGAGTGCCCCCCGAAAACGAATGTAGAGCAATACCGCTACAACAACCCAAATGGTGATTTGATGTATTGACTATAATCTCACATGTCCCTTGTTACCGATGCGTTTTTCACACACACATCCGAGCCAACTTCTTGAGCTTCACAGATGACATAGAGTAATTAGATAGCTACTAATTATCTAACAACTGAACTATCAATGAAGCAAGGCCGTGGCAAGGCTCAAGCGGTTAGCCCCCTTCTTGCCACCGCTATTTCACTGGAGAAACTGACGCAAAAAAAAAAAAAAAAAGCGAAAAATATCAGTCATTATAGACAGTCTCGGGGCTGAAATTTGAACTAAATTCGAGGCAGATATTCTTCCTACTCAACTGTGGCCTGAAGTTCATACTACTTTCTTTAAGTACTGTAACTCTGTAGATGTTTTGACGATGGTGCATAACACTGAGACTTACTGGGTTTTTGGACTCTGTCCATCGTCCGATATTCTAATAGCGCAGAGAAAAAACATTTCGCAAAAATTGATCAGTTTCCGCCCTCAGGTGAGGGAGAAGACACCTGCTTTGTTGGGTTTCTTAGAAAGAACTAACCTCAATCACTGGGCCCAGCAGAGTAGGCGTTCCAGACTCACTTGAGGAAGAAAACAGATACATTTTCCGAAACGTCGTCTTCTCTAGATTATTAGATTACCTGGCGATGGACAAAGTCGAAACCCCCAGTTATTCTGAGTATTGTAAATGTGGTTTGAAATGCTGTTAGGCTAAGAGTTCACTTTTCTTGCTGTGCAGAAAATTTTAGATTATGTAAAAACTCGACTTTTTCTTTTTACAAAATCGTCAGTACGACCTGAGACATATATATTTCCCAATGAAATATTGTACTGAGAATTTGTATGAGGTGAAATATAGTAACAGAACAAAAAGTTGAGTGCTACTTTTAGAGGAATCTAATTTTTATTTTTGAGATTCTCGTTTGGAACTGTCTTTACGTGAGTAATCAGAAATGTGTAACAGTTTCGGTGGCTAACCTTCATTGTGTAACAGAGAGAACTATTGTGTTACACAGCACAACGCCACTTAAATATTGAGTGACCTTGCTCTATATTGACAGAAACTGGCAAATCAAGTACGGCTGCACTGAGGTGCCTTGATTGCCTCGAGATCGGAAACATAAAAAATTAGGCAATAATGGAGCAAACACTAGATGATTATCTCGTCCTGATTTCCTTCCTCTAAATGCGGCGTTGTGAGTTTCTATTCGTTTTACTTCTTAACATAATTAACTACGTACACTTTCTCACTATAAAGGTTCGGCCACACAGAGCGCTACGCTATGTTCGCTACGTACGCTATGTACACTCCGCGACGCATCTAACATAGGGAACATAGCGTACGTAGCGTACGGAAGTCTGTGTGGCCAGTCACATGGGCAATAAAGGGATATATTTTTCTGTTCGTATAGCGAATCGAACCCGGACATCTGGATCTGTAGCCAGAAACTCTGACCACTAGACCACAGAGGCAGTCCTATATCGTTAGATAACACGATATATTTAACCATTACGTTATTACTTCGTGTGCAATAGAGAGAGAAACAAGAAATGAAAATACATCCTGTTTCATAACGATTCGGTTCCACAAGGCTGTACAAGCAACGTTTTGAAATTTGTCAATCCGGAATTACAGCATGATTTGCACTTACCTGAGGAAGACTGATTGTCCATATATAGCGGGTCAGATTCCCTGTCTTGTCCGTCTGGACTCGGCGCGTGATCAGAACCAATCCCACTGGAACCACCACTGGAACCATTAACCCTTCCAGCTTGTCCGGGAACAGTGGTTGTAGTGCCGGCCTTGTCATTCACCTGACTTCCATTCTCAGCAAGATTACGCGTGTTCTTCACGTTCACTCCGACAATATTAGTATTAAGACATCTGCGTAGTTCAATGGCTGTTAGATTTCCTTTCTGACGATGAACCGTGTCATAATCTCTAGGGGGCAGCAATATCGGGGCATGGTGCCGCACCTTTCCGTCACCTCCAGTACCGAGCTTCTCCCTCAGTTCCGCCGCTAACGAATCATAGAGGCTAGCAATCCTCTCTTGATGACCTCCAACTCCACTCAGACGCTCCGAAGAGGAACCTCCTGAAGATTCAGATTCCCTTGTGCTTGTGCTTCGTCCATCTGAACCTCCTCCTCCTCCTCCTCCTCCACTGTGGACTCGTCTTGCCGAAGAGGACGTGGGGACAGGACGTGAGGATTGTGTGGGAGGTGGGAGGAGAAGTCCTTTGGCTCTAAGTCGCGTCTCAATCTCACCAAGTTTCTTCTGGTTCTCAGGACGTTCAATCAGGGTTTGTAATTGTCCTCTAAGGATTTCTGCGGTTTCTACAGAGTCACAACGGTAAGCATGGACATGCACAGGACATTTCGTGACAGGATTATAAAGTAAAAGGATGCAGGATACTATATCCTCATCTTGCAAGACGCAGGTAACTGCGTGATGTGGAATGAAATGTTTTATAACTTCTGGTTTATTGCTCTTACCGGAAGGCTTTGCTCCAGCTGCAGTAGCTACTGGCGGAATGTTCTGGATGATTTTGAGTCCCTTGTGACTGACCTGGAGGGTGACCTTGAACGGTTCGACATCACGCTCTCTGTGCACCAAACTCTTCACTACAGGGTGCATGTACTCGGCACCACGCAGACCTTTCGATTCTTGGGCTCCCAGAAACCAAACATAATACGATGACTTCTTTATATCTTTCCTCATTCTTAATGCCATTACTTTACCGCCAACCAAAATGAGAATAAATTCGGATTATTATTTTAATCTTATAAACATTTTAGTCTTTAAAGTATTTATTAAATTAAGATGTTCATTTATGTAAGTTCCGAAGTATTCGTCGTTAAATCTTTAAGAATGTTCTCTTTATTTTCTTCATTCACTGAATTTTCGTTTAGACTTAATTTTGTTCTCAAAATATCAACCACCCTTGTTCTTCAGAATAATTCCTGTTGCATATTTCACTTCATTTGACTTTTGAATACACCAGCTATTATTTTGCAATGCCATAACGTGTCATTCCCTTACACAATTTCGAGAAATTCCTCTTGTTTCACTTTAATATTATCTGGGAAGTATCAGTAGTAGTCAGTTCGTCAACACTTGCATTGCAGACCTAACCTTACTCACTGTTTAACATGTAGTTCAATATACTGCCTATGTCACTTCATCATCCACTTTAACTTTTCGCAAACACTTATAATTCCATACTTCTGTCGTTAAATATATTTTGAATGTTGGTAACAGTCCTTGTTTTGTGCTGCATATCCACTGGCAGTGTTGGAATGTATTTAGAATGGACACACTGAGAGAGGGGCTGTCCTCCCTAAGGCTCTATCGTGGATGAAATAAAACAAGTGGTAATACTTGCTAACACCACGTGACTTGTTGGCCTCGATTTTGAGTGGACATTGCTGCTTTACTGAAGGATCATATCTTATGTTGCAGACAGGTACGATCTCACTAACTGCTTCTGCCTTCTGCTACATCAGGTGTTGGCCTCAATTATGTTGAGACCCCCTTTGCCATGAACAAGGGTAAAATGTATTGAAACTGACCACGACCTTATCTACATAGGAACTTGAGGCAGTAGTTGATAATGTCCATTAAAATATATGTTACAGCCTAACAGATACTAGGATCTTCTGTAAACGGTAGTTGATATCTTCGTAAATGCAGGAGAAACGTTTCACTTCGTGTGCAGGTCTAGGTTTAGTGACAGGAGGCTGTAGTCTGTACACTTGTACAGTTTGTGGAGCTTGTCAAACTTTTCGACGGTGAAATGATTGTCTCTGGTCCCGTTTTGTCTATAAGAGACAACGGTTCCTTCCTCGTGTAATTCCGTTGTTACTCTGCGTGCGTCTGATGGCTGCGGAAGATGGCGACGTCCCCAGGCAGTTCGCTTGCTGAAACAAACAAGTGTAACGGTCATGTTAATTACTGCATGAGATCCATCCTTACTTTACCTCCCACTACATCCCTCGAGCTCTCTCTGACGACATAAGCACCTCACAATTCTGCTTTAAAAAAAATGAATAAGCCAAATTATAATATTAGAAAAGAAAAGATAGTTTATAAGTGAAACATTAGTTGTATTTTGGTTGCATCATGTTAACTCAGCGAAATTTCCTGTTGAAAAGAATATAAGATCATAACAACTAACTTCATAGAGGAGAATCCTTCTTACGGAGTTGATAGTCGCTCATTTAGTCAAGAACCTCTCCACCTTCCATGCAATTCAAAGACTAAATTTCGTGTTCACAACAAGCCGCCATAGAGACAATAAGCCAAGCTTCCTGTCTCTAGGGCTCTACAGCCCTTCATTCGACTTGGCCTTTTTTTTTCAGTTTCTTAATCTTCTATACACAGACGGTAGGACTCCTTGACCGCTACCTATTCACAGAACAACACAAACACATGATAAACGCTCAGAGACATCCATTCATCGAATGGGACTCGAACCCATGACTCCAGTGTTCGAGTGGGAGAAGACGGTTCATGCCTTAGATCGCGTGGCCTTTGGCACCGGCAAATGAGTCCAGCTAGCAACCTGCTGAACCGATCACAGTGACCGAGTGGTCTATTTTTTTTATAGTGGGGTGAGACTAAGTCCCTTGTACTGCGGCCACTTCTGGTCCATTGTACCAGCCCCAGAGGATAGGTGAGGGTGATTGTGGAGCAATTGGTGGAATGAAGATTGGCAGGGGAAACCGAAGTACTAGTAGGAAACCTGCCCCAGCGCCACTTTGTCCACCACAAATCCCATTTGACCAGACCCGGGTCGAACCCGGGCCGCCGCGGTGGGAAGCCAGCGACTAACCGCGTGAGCTATGGCTCGGCCTAACCGAGCGGCCTAAGGTATGACCTCTCTTTGCCCGCTCAAACATTGGGGTCATGAGTTCGAGTCCCACTCAAGGCATGGATGTTTGCATTTATTTTGTTTATGTTGTCTTGTGTAGGTAGCGTCCTTGTAACGGGTTAATCCCTCCCCTATGGAGTCCTGCCGACTGTCTATATGATTAAGAGACTATGAAGCAAATGTCAAGGTTCATCACGGACTGTAGCGTCCACNGCCTTTCATGTTAAGCCCTATGGCCTGTTTCCCATCACAATTAATCTGGAAATAAGGACCTTATGGACAACTGGTAGGACTGCTTGGACGGGGGATCAGCCCGTCGCAAGGCCGCTAGCTACACGGAACAACACAAACACGAAAGAAAATCAGACAAACATCCATGCCTCGAGTAGGATTCGAACCCACGAGCGAGAGAAATCAATTCAAGCTTTGGACCGTGTGTCCACAGTTATCGCCCGACTCAGAAGTAGCTCTACGGTATCCTCCCCACTCCACTCTCCTCTCCCTCATCACCCGACCGTGTGGCCGCGTCTTCTACAGACTGATTCTAAATTATTGTCGGGATATCCGTGATATTTAAACGGAGAAACTGATAATAATTTAGAATCACAAGTTGTGCCACCAGATAAGAATGCGCGTTATCGAATCTGATAAGGAGGGTGACTGCGAATGATGGATCGGGAAGGGGGATGTAGAAGGATCTATTATGATATGCTAGCTCAATATTTTTTCTGAAATGACTGAACAGAACAACAGACAAATTAGAAAGTGCAGGTATGTCGTAAGTATTGTGAAGCATTTGCACGCTTGTCTTTGATTAGCTCATTATCTCGTAAACTTCTGGACAAAGGACGAATCACGGTGAACAGTGAATTGGAGGGAACGTGAAAGCTGTTGGTCTGTCTGTCTGAGGTTCTCTCCAGAACTTCATTTGCAAAGACCGAGGAGAACCGCCCGAAAACTTCAGAACAGTAGATAACCCGACCGGTATTCGAACCGGACATCAGAATTCAAGTCAGAAGCGTTACGACTTGAGCCAGCTGTTCCATCTTCAACGTAACCCTGTTCTCCTAATAAACTTATCCAATATCTCCCTCATCAGGATAATTGAGGAGCTACTTGAATGGAAAAGTAGCGGCTCCGGTCTAGAAAACAGAAATTGACGGCCGTGAGGATTCATTGCGCTGACCACGCGACACCCTCTATCCGGTAAAGTTGGCACCACCGACAAGCGGAGGTCTCTCGGTCGGTATTGTTCGCTTGCGGACTAAAACCATGGAGTTAGTTATATAACTTGTTCGCCGATCACAATGGTTGCGCGGTCTAAGACATGAACCGTCTTCGTCAGCTCGAACACTTTGATCGTGGGTTCGAATTCTACTAGAAGCATGGATTTCTGTGTTTATGCTGTTCTGTGTGTAGGTAGAGGCCTTGCGAAGGGCTGATTCTTCGTCGAAGGGGTCCTACCGACTGTGTATAGGATTGAGATACTGAAAAAGCGGACAAGGCCCAACAAAAGGGCTGTAGAGCCATGATGATGATAATAATAATAATCTGTTCAGGACAGTTGCACACAAAATCACACCGGCACAGGCAGTGGAGACAGAGGACCGCCCTAATAATTTCTCTATTACTGTAACTTCCAGAAGCAGGAAACTATCTCCGTTGACCGTTACAAATACAAACGTGGGTGGCCAGCCAGCTTTAGCTGAACACAGCATGCCTGCCCCCGTCACGATCCTGCTAACAGCTCCGCCCTCTAACGCAGGTCGCTGCGAAACCGTTTGGAAACAGTTGCACTGGAGCCGGGGTAGCTCAGCTGGCTACGGGACGAAAGGGTTTGATTCCCAACAGGGTCAAGAGACAACTCTCTTCTTCTCGGCGTCCAGACCGGCTCTGGGGCCCACCCAGCCTCTTATCCTGTGTACACCAGGAGCGATTTCCCCGGGGGTAAACTGGCCGGGGCCTTTGGCCGACCACTCACCTCCATCTAGTGCTGAAGTAAAAATTTGTGGAACTATACTTCCACTCCCGCATACATCTTCATGACATAATGTTTACTTACGCACAGAGATAACTTTGTCTTTTACCAGACGCTTTTTCCCCTGAGGTAAAGTGGCAGGGAAGCGAAGCTGACCACGCACCTCCATCCAGTGCCCAGATCAAGAAAGACGGAGCTATACTACTACATGGTTTGATGCACAGGCACAACTTTATCTTCACGTATGCTGGACACAGCACACCTCGACCCTGCTCGATCCTGTCAGTTCTCTGCTGTCTAAAACATGAAACGAAGGTTTGCCTTATGCAGATACTTGGAGAGTGAAAAGGGCTGCCCATTTCACACAATTAGAAGAACAGTTCAGAAACTAAACACTTTATCGTCACGATGCACTGTACACAAACACAGATTCTTTGCTAAGAACTTGATGGGAGATGCTGCTGAGATAACTGCGATTATGCAGTGTTGCTTTGGTTGTCAAGAAGCAGTAAGCAAAGAAGAGATGATTCATTATGCATGTTTGTTCCTGGCAGCTGTCATTACCTTTTCTGACGTTAACAACCCGAATGCAACACACTGTTCGTGTGTGTGTGTTCTTCTAATGGAAGAGTCGCCCTGAACAGGAACATTTTGACAAGAAGCGTTATTGTAAGTTCTGCCTCACCTTACGTGTTGATGGAGTTATCACCTCCATAAGTTAGCGTCGAATAAGATGTTCTGTACGCTATACAATAAACTCCCGTCGCTGGAACGTTAATTCCACGTCCTCTCTATCATCGTCTGCAAGGTTTGAGCTTGGTAGTTTCCGTCCTCAAACTTCAGCCACCCAGTCTGAGGAATATCACTAACACCCATTTTAACAAGTTACTAGCAGGTTTGAAATGGATCTTAGAGAGATAGAATTAGATAGTATGAATTGGATTGATGTGGCTCAGGATAGGGACTTATGGAGGGCACTTCTGAACACGGTAATGAACTTTCGGCTTCCATAAAATGCTGGGAAATTCTTGAGTAGCTGCAGATTTGGCCGCTCCCCAAGAATTTTCAGCTCCATGAGTACTAGCAGGTTGCAAAACCCGTGGAGAACCAGGAGTTTTATTCAGGTTTGCCTCCCCTTAGGTTTCCTACAATGGCTAACGAGTCGTGTGTATACCCGCCCTGCGAAGCGGTCCTTCCTAGGTGCTACCCACCGGGTCGTCAGATCTGGGGCTGGCATAAGGCAGGGTAGCCACTTCCTGTAGCTGGGCTGTCTCTCATGAGATTTCCAACTTGCTACCTGGAGTGGGGATCCATCTGTTCAGAAATAGTATCATTTATTTATTCAGGTGGTACTTTGTGTTAGTGTGCTCAACCTTGTGTCAATCAAATACGCATAAAGAATTTAACATAAGATGTGTTTTAATATCATCCTATCATCTCTACTCCAATATCAGTCTTTCATCAAACGAAAAGATGGAGATTATGAATATTAATTTGCATTGTCAATAAAAGCAATTGTTAGCATTCGCAGTTCATTCATTTTTTATTTTATTTTTAATACGTAAATAGTAAATAGCCGGTTACGGTAGCCGAGCGGTCTAAGGCATGAACTGTCTTCGCTCGCTCGGAAGCCTGGATCGTGGGTTCCAAACCCACTTAGGGCATGTATGTTTGTGTGCGTTTTTCTGTGTTTGTGTACAGGTAGGGGCCTTGCGACGAGCTGATCACCCGCCCAAGGAGTCCTACCGAATGTCTAAGATCTAGTAAAACTGAAGTGAAACGGAGAGTTTCATGGAAGTAGGCCTAGGCCCAAATGACGGCCGTAGTGCCAATGAAAAAAAAAGTAAATAAAGATAATGTTGTCCATTTGTTTAACTAATTAAACACCACGCCATATTGATGTATGGGGGAGTGAAGTTATAGTCCCACTGTTCTTGACCTCGGCACTAGATGCAAGTGAGCGGTCAGCTTCTTGTATGAAACGATTTATCCCCAGGGAAAGAAGCCTCGCAACACATTGCGTAGGCGAGTGGGTGGATCGAGGTTCGGTCTAGACGCTGTAGAGTAAA